GGTTCGGGATGTCAAAAGCGTCTGGGTCACCCTCAGGGACTAGCAGCATGGAACAGAGATGGGGAGCAGCCTCGGACAGGAAAGCAAGCTCGAACTGGCGGTCCTCCAGGACGTCATTGCCGAGGGCAGGAGCACCCCCGACATACGGAGGACCGGCAGGGTCAGAGACCAGAGCGGTGGCGTAGTCAAGGCAGCGGGTAGAGGCGAAGTCAGCAACCGCAGCGACAAGAGCGTCAAGACACGAGACCGGAACGGACGGGTCGGTAACGAGAGAGGCGAGGACCCGAGGAACAAGAGGACGAGCGGCACGCAGGTAGTCAGATAGAGGAGGGGGCGCAACGGTAAGAGAGGACGGAGGAGGGGACGGTAGAAGGGGAGGACGAGACGCATGGGAACGGAGCAACATAGGGTGAGAGCGCGGGACACGGGAGACAGGACGAGCGCGGGAGGGACGGCGAGACAAAACGTGAGACGGAGGCGTCGGGTCAAGAGACAGGGGAGGGGACACAAGGGGGGAGCGAGGGGGAAGACGAGCTGGGGACGTGTCCGCCGGTGGGAACACAGGACCGTAGACAGGAAGAGGAGGAGACGGGAGGAGAGGAACAGACGCAGAGTCATGGGACGGAAGGCCGAGCAGGCAAAGGGCTTACACCGGCGGGGACTGCTGCTGCGGCGGCACAACACCGACACAGGGACGGCAAGCGGCTCCTCGGCTACCTCCAGGACACTCCACTCCGGCACCCCCAGAAGGAACACCCCCAGAGCCCGAAACCCCTCGAGCACCGGTACCACCCCGAGGGCCACCGGGACAAGGCACGACAGGAACCCCAGGGCTAGCACCCACCCCAGCGCGAGCACCTCCAGAGTCGACGAACTGTTGCTGTGACGCCGGCAGCGATAACGACGGGTGCGGCGGCGGCGGTGGTGGAGACGACGGCTGCAGAGGCGGTGGAGGAGGAGACACCGGGGAAAGGGCAGACGGCGAGGACTGCACTGCAGGACCACCAGAGTCAGAAGACTCCTCGACCGGGACAACCGACGGGAGAGTGGTGACGTGGGACACGGCAGGACGGGGAGGGGGAGGGGGGGGGGCAGGGACGACCAAGGAAGGAGTGACCAGGAATAGGGGGGGAGTAACAGGGGGACCGCGGTGGGGGAAGCGACGGTGGAAGGAGACGGACTCGTCAAAGGTGACGTCACGGGAGTGAAAGAACCGGTGAGACGGCGGGTGGTAGAAGTGCCAGTCTGACGCGTGAAGGGGGAAACCGAGGAAGATGCAGGGAAGGGTGTGGGCAGTGAGATTGTCCATGCCAGAGGCACGAACGTGAGCAAGGCAGCCCCAGACGTGGAACGCAGACGCGTCACCAGGAGACCCGGTCCAAAGAAGGGTCGGCGAAACCTGCGGCCGCTGGGGGTGCAGCCACAGGTTAAGCTGGTGAGCAGCGTAGCGCACGGCGAACGGCCACAGAAAATGGGGTGCACCGGCATGGATCATGGAGGTGCGAGCCACCTCTATGACCAAACCGATGCATCACTCAGCGACCCCATTCTGCTGTGGGGAGTCCGGCAGGGTGAAAGTCTGGGTGATGCCCTCCGCACGACAGAATCGACCAAGGACCCTTGAGGCAAACTCGCCACCACGGTCGGAGTGAAGACGCAAGATAGGGAGACCTCGGTGGACACGGGCAAAGACAAGGCAGGGGATGAGAGCGTTAGGCACGTCGGCCTTCCGCTCTTCCGCTCTAGGGGAAAGACTGTGGTGTAGCGAGTGAAGTCGTCGACAAGCACGAGGAAGTAGCGCTCTCTACGCGGCCCATGGACGGGGGCGGGGCCCCAGACGTCCATGTGCAGGGTCTGCAGTGGCGCGGCGGTAGGGGGAAACGAGGAGGAGTGAGGGGCACGGAAAAGCCGACCCTCGACACAAGGCGTGCACAGTGGGGCGGGGGAGGAGGGAAAAGCGGGAAACAAACCGGGCAGACCAAGGACGAGATTGTGCTGGGACATGTGACGCAGACGCGGGAGGGAAGGGTGACCTAGGCGGTGGTGCCACAGGAGAGTCGGGTGAGTGGGGGACCGACAGGAGCAGGCAGCAGCAATCTGGGAAGACGCAGCCACCTGAGGGGGCGCCCCAGCCGGGGGGGTTACGGTGTCCAGAGTGAACAGGCCGGACACCGGGTCCCGGGGGAACGTGGACAGGGGGGCACCGGTGGCGGCCTCGGTACAGACAGCATATCGCTCGTGACCAGGGAACGTAGTGCTGACGCCAAGGTCCTGGAGACAGCCGACACCAACTAGGTTCCTGGAGAACGAGGGGATATGCAAACCTGTGAGAGAGCCCGAAGGAACCGCCGGACAGGGAAGGGTGGTGGAATTGCGGGCGACTACTGGACCGCCGGAGGGGTCGGCAAGAGAAACTGCAGCAGGAACAGGAAGCAGCGTCAGCGTAGTGGAGTCGCGGAAGAAACATCGGGAAGCGCCTGAGTCCAAGGTGAAGGAAAGCGAAGCAGAGGCGTCTGGCGACGGGGCGCACCAAGGCTAAACAAAGTAGGAGCTCCTACGCCTGGCGCGGCAGGGGAGGCTAAGTTAGGCACACCTACACTAGGCGACAGGGAGTAATAAGTGGGGAGCACACTTGAGTCATCAGCATATATCACATGCAGGGCAGAAACAATGGCATCCATGTCCATGTCAAAAATCTGAACTCTACGACTAAGCAAACTGTGCCAGTCCAGGAGGCCGGGCGACGGGCCGAAGCGATGACGAAACAGGTCGTCTAGGCGACGAAAACAGCGGACAGTGGCGTGACCGATCTTACCGCAAACGAAGCCGCAGCGAGGACCGGTCTGGATCTGGTACTGACAGCGCACGCCTCCCGAACCGCCACCCGGCACACCACGCGCACGACCACCACTAGCGCTAGGCCACCCGGGCGGGAGGGCACTCGCCTGCCTCATCTGCGGTGGCTGCTGCGGCTGGTGCGGCTGCTGTGGCTGCTGCGGCTGCTGCTGCTACTAGGGCGGCTGCTCAGCTGGACCTGGCAGGGTCTCCTCGTCCGCTCCACCCACAGACGACCCGACTCCACCACCACCTCCACCTGCACGCCCACCTCCTCCGCCGCACCCAGCCTTGGGGCGGCGGCCCATCTTCGGACGGAACTGCGCTGCAGCGGCGGTCTCACCCACAGCGGCAGAACCATCAGAGAAGGTGCACTGGGCAGGGGCACAACCCTGAAAGATAGGGACCGGCACAGTACCGCTCGCTTGGGCGATAGAGCGGTGGCGGGTCTCAATTTCAGTCAAGGTGTCTACAAAGTCTGTGAGGGTTAGGTCACCGGGGTGAATGCTAAGGAAGCGGTCACGAGCAGCGGCAAGGCGGTCAGGGAGGCGGGTGGCAAGCAAGTAGAGGGCAGAGGTAAGGGGCGGCTGGTGGGCTCTAAGCTGTGCGTCAGTGCAGGCAGCGCGCCAGGTCTCATCTATCATGCACAGGTGGGCAGCCAGGTCAGCGACAGTGGCGAAAGACGCAAGGTCAGGAAAGAGCCTCTGTAGGATCAGGCGACCCACCGAGGCAGCAGGCGGGGCGGAATAGCGCCGGATAACAGCATCTAAGAAAGCCTGGGCGGTGGTGATAGACCTAAAGCGAGGGCGCTCAGACAGGGGGAGGGCATTGCTAATGGCAAGCTGTGCGACAGCGTCACGGGAAAGCCAGACAGAGCGAGCGAGGGCAGCGACCGCAGTAGACTCGCGCTTAGCAGGTGTGGGGTCAGCGGGCAGCACAGCAGGGGGGTCTGGGCAGGGAAGCATACCGTCAAGGTGTGCCGAGAGCGAGTGGCCATCCTGCCGCTGACCAGTGAGGTGGCGGCGGAGGTCGGCTAGCCACGCCTCGAACTCCAGAGGCTGGCCTTCAGCGTCGAAGCGAAGCTCCGCCGCCATCAGGAACAGTGCAGGGCAGGGCCAGGTGAGGCAGTGCAGTGCGGTACAGTGCAGTGCGATACAGCGCGGTGCAGTGCGGTGCAGTGCGGTACAGTGCGGTGCAACGCGGTACAGTGCGGTGCAGCGCGGTACAGTACGGTACAGTGCGGTGCAGCGCAGTGCCGTGCGGTGCAGTGGGGTGCAGTGCAGTAGCAGGCACGAAGAGCGGGCCGCACGCAGATCGGCGGCAGTCTGGCGGGAAAGTGAGCACGGGGCTGGAGGTCGACGGGCAGGGCGCGCGCAGGGGTCGGCAGAACGGGCGCGGGGGCCAGTAGCGGCGGGCGCCGGGCCGCCGAGGACGGGTGCGAGGGCCAGGTAGGACGGGCGCTGGGCCGGCTAGGACGGGCCTGGGACGGGCGCGGGGCTGGCTAGGACGGGCGCGGGGGCCGGTAGGAAGGGCGCGGGAGCCGCTAGGACGGGCGCGGGGCCGGCTAGGACGGGCCCGGGAGCCGGTAGGACGGGCGCGGGGGCCGCTAGGACGGGCGCGGGGCTGGCTAGGACGGGCGCGGGGGGCGTTAGGACGGGCACGGGGGCCGGTAGGACGGGCGCGGGGTCGGCTAGGACGGGCGCGGGGGCCGCTAGGACGGGCGCGGGGCCAGCTAGGACGGGCGCGGGGGCCGTTAGGACGGGCACGGGGGCCGGTAGGACGGGCGCGGGGGCCGCTAGGACGGGCGCGGGGCCGGCTAGGACGGGCGCGGGGGCCGTTAGGACGGGCACGGGGGCCGGTAGGACGGGCGCTGGGGCCGCTAGGACGGGCGCGGGGCCAGCTAGGACGGGCGCGGGGGGCCGTTAGGACGGGCACGGGGGCCGGTAGGACGGGCGCGGGGGCCAGCTAGGACGGGCACAGGGCCGATAGGACGGGCACGGGGGCCTGCAGGACGGGCGCGCGGGCACAGCTAGGACGGGCGCGCGGGCGCGGTTAGGTCGGGCGGCTAGGATGGGCGGCTAGGGCGGGGCTAGGTCCTAGAGCGGAAGCGTGGGTGGGGGCAGGACCTACCTACTGCTGATACCATCTTAGAACTGAATGAATGGTTAGAAAACCTGTGTACAAGGAAATATATCTAAGGGTTGTACCCTCTAAAAGGTGACCCTATACAGTCTATACAAACATTACAGATTACACATGTTTGACAACCTTCCCCCCCTTCCAGCAGGCAGCCTCAGCCACCAGTCACACAAAACTTTTATGCACTGCTTCTCCCTAGGGATGCATTGTCTGTGTGAGTGGAGCCACAGTAGGCTTCATCTGCAGAAACCTTCCCCTTCCAGCGGTGGGACGGCGCATGAGCTCTCGGGACTCCTGGCAGAGCGCGCATCCCAGGCACCAGGCGTGGATGCAGCAGTCACACACCCTCTCACTGAGGGGCGAAGGATCTCTGCACATACAGTGCGCCTCACTCTGTACAAGGGAGGAGTGGGATGGGTGCGGGGAATGGGAGACAGAAGAGGGAAAGTTGTTTATAACAGAAAAGCCATAGATGGAGGGTGCATGGTAGGCACGGGCTGTTAAACGGAAACCAGCTTGAGTCCGTTGAGAAAAGGGTGTCCTAGTCGATGGCTCTGCTACCTGAACTTGGGTTTTTTTTCCTGATAATCACAAAAAAAAAAATCGGGCTTTAAGGAGATCCCAGGGGGAAACCAGGCCTCCTTTCCCATGCCGAATAATCACAAAAGCAGCAGAGATAGAGGGAAACGGGAATCACGAAATGGGGGAATTGGGAAAAATCATCCGTGCTACGAAGTAACAGGAAACCCGCACCTGAATGCCGTAGGTGCGTCGAATCTCGGCGCGCGTCTGCGAGGTGAACAGCGGAAACAAATAGGTCACAAACGCAAGCGGGTACCCCTGAATCGCAGCGAGCTCCGCAGCGACTCCTATGAGATAGAAGGAGCAGCAGCAGCGACAGCACTCGCTCTCGTCGCCAGTCAGCATCTCGCGGTTGGTGCCGAAGAGGCACGGCGAGCAGAAGAAGCCCAGACAGCCTGGGGGAAAAAACACGAAAGAAAGGGAGTAAGAAAGGGACAGGAGATTGAAAGAAGAGAAAGGAAGGGAGTAAGAGCTGAACAGCAATTTATGACAGAACGAAGGAGCAGCAGCAGCGACCGCACTCGCTCTCGCCGCCAGTCAGCATCTCGCGGTTGATACGGAAGAGGACCCAAAAAAAAAAAAAAAAAAAAAAAAAAAACCAAGGAGCGAAAACGAGCAAGGGGCGTACATATCTTGCAGTCGCTGCCACTCTCGAAGCCGTTGTTGTCACAGCAGCCGAACAGGCCCGTCTGCCAGGGTGAAGCTCCCCCCGGGTGCACATATTCGCCAGGGACGGGCGCCGACAACAAAGGCACGCCGAGGACTGGAGCCGTCGACGGGAGTATCGGTGCGGTTTCGGGATCACCGCTATTCCCACCATGATGCCGAACATGCTCATTGTACCCTGATTCCGACGCTTCCGGTATCGTCGATTCGTGGTTCTCGGAATTCAGGCTGGTCGTCTGCGTAGCACCGCCCATCCTTGCGTTCCTCGCGCTTTTACTCGAACCAGCGGCTTGAAACTCGCTTTCACTCGAAGCAAGGGATTGAAATATGATTCTTCTACAGCGAACGGTAAGCCTGCGTAGAAAGTTTCTGGACTGTCGTCACACACTCTGTCAAAGAAACGAATTGTCTGGCAATGGATACTCTATCCCGCATTAGCAGGGTGTAAACAAGCTGAGGCGGGAGTAGCAATGCTCGTTCTTATCAAGCCAGGTGCGGATTGAGTCACACTTTAAAGCCCAGGTACCAGATTTTGAAAGCGAGTCATGTCAGGTCAATGCTGGTTTAGGTTCGGCAAGAGGTCGTTGCGAGGTTTGGCAGACCTCACCCCGACCTACGAAGCAAGGGGTGTGGCTGGCAAGGGTTTGGTGGAGAGGAGAGGAGAGGTTTGCCAAGTTGGTGAAAAAGAAGCATACACGAAACCAAACCCAACTCGATATGAAGGAAACGAACACGGTTTCGTGGGGTTCTGAACGATTTGGGGTGGGGAGGAGGGGACACTGCTGTCATGTGCCGCACATTGTCCTAAAGTTCAGTAAGCCTACCAAGCCTACAAGGAGGGGTATTGTACCCTCCTTGTATCCCTCTCTCTTCTATTATGATCCTCTTTTCTCTTCTCAACTTTTCTCCTTCCTGAACCTCACGCCACTCCATGGCTCCTAGCTAAACCTCATGCCTTTCCTAGCTTCCTAGCTAAGCTAGCCTTCTAACATGCTATCAGAGCAGGAGGTCCTCCCTGCTGGACCTTCTCCTCACGCTTCCGCCGCGTACTCCTCACCCTCGTTCGCTCGCGCGGCCATGGAGGCCGCGTTTTGCTGCTGTGGCGGCGTCGTGATGCCGCTGGCCGCGTCGTGCCGCGGCCGTCTCGACGCGCTGCCGTGGTGTCGGGCCGTCGTGCTGCCGTCGCAGCGTCGACGTCGCGCCACGGCGTCGACGCCGCTCTGTGACGGCGTAGTCGGGCTGCAGCCGGCCGCGCGACGCCTGTGGCGCCGCTAGACCGGCCACCCGCATGCCAGCCTGTGGCGCCCCTCCCCCCCCCCCCCCTTCCCCTGTGTCCTCTTCCTTCCCGCAGACGACGGCTGACTCCCGCCGGCCGTCCCACCGTCGCGGGGCCTGGCCACGCAGCCGCACGCCGCCGCCGCCGCCGCTGTCGACACTGCCGCCGCTGCCGCCGTCGCCGCCGCAGCCCCTGCGGTCGACGTCGCCGCCTCACGCGCCAAGGGGTCGACCGAGCTAGTGTCGCTGTCACTGTGGCTGGAATGGGGGTGCTAGGTTAGGGGATGTGGGTGTGTGTGGGCTTGTGTCTACCAAGCCTAGGGAGTGTGTGAAATTATATATGTTAGTATATAATTGTAGGCTTGGTAGGCTTACTGAACTTTACTGTAGAGGGTACAATACCCCTCCTTGTATCCCTCTCTCTTCTATTATGATCCTCTTTTCTCTCCTCAACTTTTCTCCTTCCTAAACCTCACGCCACTCCATGGCTCCTCCTAGCTAAACCTCATACCTTTCCTAGCTTCCTAGCTAAGCTAGCCTTCTAACAAAAACTACATAGCTAGTAGAGGATTCTGTCTCGGTTTACATTCGCGCACAGCTTCGCAACGCGTTATTGAGATACAGACATGTCGATTAGGGCAGCCTGAAACAAAATAAAACCGGCAGCAGCCCGTATATATACCGACATGTCAATTAAGGTAGTCTGAAACAAAATAAAACCCGCAGCGGCCCTATATTCGACTTGGGGTGACATCAACCCTAAAGATACACAAAGCCACGAGTTTAGGATTGATGCCACCGCGAGTTGCATGCGGGCTCCGATGGGTTTGAGTTTTGTGGGCATCCCGAAAAACAAAACGTCAGAAAAGTTGACATAAGTCTAATTTACACCTTGACGAATGGCTTGATAGATTTCTGCAACGAAAATAATGTTTTTTTCCATTCGAGAATTTTCGTAACAACCAGTAAATTCGCACACGTTCAGTTGCGCAATTTGTGTGCACTTCGCCTGCTCACTGTTTCCAGTCACAAGAAGACAACATTTGGCTAGTCAGTCTTCACGAATATATTCTACTGCGAAATTTGAATGTGAGTCAAATCGAATGTGTTTTCAGATAGAGTTTCTATTTGTTTGTCCCTACAAATAGTCTCCCTTTTTCTGGGATTTTGCCATTTTCGGACATGTGTCGAAATATTTTGCCATGCAGCATCAAACTGAACGAAAAGTTTGACGCTGCTGATTTCGACTCGATAAAACATTGACTGAGATGAGATTAAAGTGACTGAATCGGGGAAACGAAAAGTAAGAGTTACTTAGCGTATAAATTCCCTTGATTCTATCAAGCGCGAAAAGAGCCTCAACCTTGCTGGCTGGAAGCATACTCGGCTCGCCGCCAGGGCTTATGTTATCAGGGCATTTGCCCTGACTTGACTGAAATTCTAAGGTAGTTTTTAGAACACCCCTGAATTTCTCCGGGTTGTTTTGACCCAGCCTCATTCTCCGATGCTGGGAAGGAGTACTCCCCTCATACCCATAGAACACATGCGAATCCAATGTGACGCAGAGCTTGGAACAACCTCAAGTAAAATCCGTGGAAATGTGCGCTCGTCGAGCATTTTTTCCGCTGGCTCTGAAAAGGCAGAGCAATATAGCTTCGGACCCTGGTTTTTAAGGGTGAAATTCGAAGGGAGCTCTGAGCATGAGAGCCGTTAAAAAATCCAACATAAGCCCTGCTCGCCACTCCAGGGATCAGGTTTAAATGGTAATTACCTGTAATAAAAAGCATTAAGAGTAACTTTGGGCTGGGTTCCGGAGTTTGAACAGGTAATGTTTGTCTGGAACCCGGAATTTATACAAGTGGGCGAGGGGCGTTCTCCGGACGAATCCGAATTTCCCCTGGGAGCATTCCGGATCACCCCGCGAGAGGGACAACCCCCCATCCCCCCCCCCCCCCCCCCCCCCCTCCCCCCCTTGAATTATATGCATTCCCCCTTGGGCAAAAAAATCTAAGCCCTTTAAGCCATTGAGCCATAATGCATACTTTTGCGTTCAATATTAATAATCTTGAAGGGCGAAACTAGGGTAGCCGGGTTTCAGGTAAGCCAATCTCGCCCGAGTTTTGGCGACCAAGGGACACGGGAGTTGCCCCCTGAACTTGAAAAACCGAGAATGCATGTTGGAACTTTTGAAGCATCCTTCACTGCATTCACACCCCTCCATCCCCATTCCCCCCCCCCCCCCCGTTTGAGTCTGCAATTTGCAACTTTTGTTTGTGCGCGCCCCTCCGTTTCCGGTTTGAGTCTGCAATTTGCAACTTCTGTTAGTGCCACCCCCCCTCCCTCCCCCCCCCTCCCGGTTCCTCCCCGTTTGAGTCTGCACTTCTCAACTTTTCATTTGTGCCCCCCCCCCCCTCCCCCTCCGTTCCCCCCCGTACCCGCTTTTGAATCTGCAATTTGCAACTTCTGTTTGTGCTGCCCCCCACCGTTTCCTCCTGCGCCCCCTTTCGAGTTTGCAATTTGAATCTGCAAAAACAGACTTCTGCTGTGTTCCCCTCCCGTCCCCCGCTAGTCTTTCATTTTCCCTGCGCAACCCTTCCCTTGTCCTCCGCTCCCACGCATGTTCCCACGAGTGTTTTGCGCTGGTTGCCCAACTTCGTTTTTTTTTGCCAACACGTCTTTTCCGCTTGGCTTCATGCCCTTTTCGCACTCTCGTCAACAGCTCGCTCTAATTCACAGCCCGTTGATTCTTACTCTTTTGGTTCATCTGCATTATGGGTCAACGACTTTAACAGACAGAGACATTCCTCCCCCTCCTACCCCGACCAGGAAATTTTGACAGCCAGAGACATTACTCCCACATCCCTTGCAACCTCGAAATTCTGGATAAGTCCCACACAGCCCTAGACATTCAGTAATCTACGTAATTTCGGCTAAGTCCCTCACAGCCCGATACATCTCTCCCGTACCCCTCTCACTCCTTCCCTAAACATCGTTGAAGTTGTCGGCAAATGGCATCCTGAAGGCCCCCCTGGACTGACTGCTCCCTCCCCTGCTCTTCCCTCTATGCTCCTCCAGCTTCTTTGCAAGTGCTCTTCGGTGGTGTTCGATACTGTTTGCCCACTAGCAAACAGGATTCAAAACGCTAGCAGCTACCCTATGTACAATTGCTACTGCTAGGCAAAGGATCATGTGAAGCAGGACGGATCCCCGTCCTGTCGACCGCTTCAAGCATTCCATGCTATGGTACACATTCGCAAGCATGCGTACGTCATTCCTGTACAAGCTCCTCCAGACACCACCCAACCTGATCCCTTAGTTCTGCCAACTGCACTCCCCTCGCCCAATTAGAACACCACTTCCTCGTCACCTTGGATTCACCCTGTTGCCCTTCCTCCTCGAACTGGTTCTTGCCGAACCTTCATCCTCGCGAGCAATCACTCCCTTCTGTCCAGCTACACCCATCTCAAAAGTGTGGGCCTTTGAAATGGCAATTTAAAGCAATACCAGGGTATTAAACTTATAGATATTGCTCATTTAGGGGTGTGTCATAAATGGCATAGATTGTAGACAATCGTGGTCCATTTAATGCCGGGTCATTCCTTTGTCAGACTGGGCGTCAATGGTTGTTTAATGCTAGGCAAGCTTGGGCTTTCACCTTCATTTATTGCCGCGAGATGCCAATTTAAGCATGGACCTTGTAATTCAGAAAATTGACCATGTGTGAATGGGCTTTAAATTGGCAACTGTACAAATGTACATTTTGTTGTGATAGTCATTTGTGGCCATTATGAGCAAGATTGTTTATGCTCAAACCAGCTTTCATAACTGCCTTGAGCTGTCATTCATAACACAAATATTTAAACCAGAAAACTGCCAACATACGGTATTTTTCATTAGATAAAATAGCAATTACATTATAATTAGCAGGAACCTAAAACAGGGCAACCGTGACAGCCCATTCTACAATAACCATAAAAAAATTGCAACATCACAACAAATCATTAAACGAATTCTCGAAGCCCTCAATGAGAATCCTCACAGCCCCACTACCCATAACAAACCCCTGCGGCGCATCGCTCTTGAAGATATCAGCACCCACCTCCAATCGCTCGCGAATCCACGCAACCAGCACAGTGGTTTTCGCCACAATGGCGTTGCGGTTGTTCTCCTCA